TACTACTCTCTCTCTCTCTCTCTCTCTCTCTCTCTCTCTCTCTCTCTCTCTCTCTCTCTCTCTCTCTCTCTCTCTACTGGATGCAAATGACGCATTGCCCCACACTACCTAATCTTTCAAGGCATTGACTGTGGTACCCGTGTTGACACTTGAATAAGGCTAACTCACAGTCTTTAAACTCCTGCTCGTCAAACTCGTCCGAAAACGCCTTCGCTTTTTCCCTTTTCTCCCACGCAGCATGATGTCTTCCGGACACTTCGTCGCCCCACATCGGCTTCCCACAGCTTGCGCATTCTTTTTCCTTCAAGATCCAGCCACGGAGGCGGTCTGTCTCAATGTATTCCATATACTTTCGAATCCGACCGTTCAATTTGGCAAGGGTGATATTGTGTATTTCACTGTCGAAATAAAATGACGTTAGTGTCTCCTGAAGTACTTCTCGTACTTGGGAAACAGTCGCCTCATCCATCACGTCTTGGAGAATATCTGTAAATAGCTTTGGGTTTTGCTCCTTTTCTCCTAAATCAATGATGCTTCTGAAACATCTATAGATACCCTGATTTACCAGCTTGGGAAGAGACGAATCTGAACCTGGGGGACTTTTGAGGGCCACTAAGATCTGTACTAAAAGCTGCCAGCAGCTTTTGTCTTTGTTGCAAACAGTAATCCCAATCTCGGTCAATTCATCCACCTTGTTCCATTCTTCCTTTGCTGCGAAGTAATTGAGTCCTTTTTTGAGGTAGTCAATAGACTGTCTGTACTCACTTGTGTTCCGAGAAAGTACAGCCAGGGCCTCAAAGCAACGAGAATTCTGGAGTTTCTCTTCCACGCGTTTTAAATTATATGGTAATTGAGCCAACTCATACCAGTATGAATTCACCAAATCAGGGACTTCAAATGTAGAGAAATCACAGCTTAAAACAACAAATTTGACTAGAAGATCGGTTTTACTGGAGCCAAAATTCGGTACTTCGGTCTCCTGAAACAAAATCCTCAAGTACCTGTATGCTAATTCATCATCGGGACAATCCAACACCATGCGGTGAAAAGAAGAATTGTAAGAGTTCGCCAACAGCACCATCTCCCGCAGGTGCCTCGCAGCTAGTTCCAGAAAGTTTTTACTGATGATATGCATCAAGCGAGTCTGTTCGGCCATGCTCACTCCTTTATCTGTGAATGCGTGAGAAATAAGATCAGCGAAGACCGAGAAGTTGTTATGGATGTCAATGAAGTTCTCGCCTCTCTGTTGCTCTAACCAGACCTCTAAGGCATTGGAGAATTTTTGCTTTGATCTGTTCAATTGGAATGCAACGCGATAGAATTTGGCTGCCTTAACTCGCTCTTGGAAAAATTCTTCATTTTTCACGTTGTACACGGGCAACAAACTCTCTAATGCTAACTCGGCATCACAGTGTGTATTTCTTGCACTATTACAAAGCATCTCAACTGTTTGTTCCAAAACAGAATCCGAGATCCGTATAAATTGCAAGTATTTCGGGTAGTTTCTGGCCAAGAAAATAGCCAAGTATACACGGTCCTCTAGAGAGAACGTGTGGTTAGCTTCCTGGAAAATGTCAAGCAACGCCTCAACAATATATTGTCTGTTGAGATGGCCCTTGGATTCAGTGTTGAGACATGGATTCTCAAAGAACTCATTCAAAGTGGCCAAAGTCTCGAATGCGTCAAATCGCAAAAGCTTGCAAAGGTATGGAAACATAGCAGTATTTTCGAGAGAGACGGGGAAAGCATTGGTCGCCTCAGTATTAATCTCACGCAAAGCAAACAATATTTTGCACACTTCGCCTCTCGCCAGCTCTTCGCGACTGGCACTCATGTACTGGTCGGTCGGGAATTGACGGCCCGATAGAATGTATGAAAGGTATGTGTATACGAGGTTCCTTTTTGTGCTATCACACAGATACAGATCTATGTCAGCCATTAGCATCATGAGCGGCCGAGTGTAGTCTTGGAGAAGAGCAGTCCAGATATAAACAAGGCACTCTCTCAAATCATGTGCTTCGCAGAGTTTTAACGTCAAGTCAATGTTTAGCGTATGTGTATCAAGAATGCAGATTATTTCTGTGAGCCGGTCACCTCTCCCTGTAGACACATAAAATTCGACGAGACTTTTGAATACGGACGGTGTCAACGAGCGGATCTCACGAGCCAAGATAAACATCTCGAGAGTGTCAAAGAATAGTTTTAAGTCATCAATTGTCTCGTGAACGGCATCCAAGATTCCAAATATTTCCTCCTGGTTGACCCCTTCGTTATTTTTGGTAATCATTGTCGCTAAGTGAAAATATAACCAGAGTCCATCCTCAACGCCGAGCTCAAAGTTTGGGGTTGAGTCAAATTCCAGAGCTAAAGCAGATCCAGGAGCTTCATCAGACTTCATGTTTGGACCAGTGTCTTTTCCTGGGCCAAATATTGCTGATATGGACTTCCTCATAATGTCCAAAAGAAAAGGTTCAACCACGACGTGTCGTTCTGCGGCCGTGTGTGGCAAACCACAGAGTAAGAGCTGACCTGTGTATTCCGAGCAGTAGAATTTGTATGCGCTTAAGAGCGCCGCGGTGTATTTCTCCGCTCCAATGAGTTCTGCAAGTCGGTTGGTCCATTTCGTTGTTGCTCCCGTCCAAAGTGATTTCTGGGCTCCAAAGTGGCTCTCCACCAAAACTACTGGGCGGTGTTTGAGGATTCTGAATGAAGAATTATAGAGCCGCATTTCCAAGCGGGCTGATGTGCCCAGAAATTCCATACACGCAGCCAGCTGAGAGCCGACGTCATCGATAGCCACGGAAGTAAGGCTTCCCTCACCTTCCTTTTCTGTATAGTAGAGGAAATGAATCTTACTTCCTTGACCACTGGTATCTTGCACAAGCGCAGCTAATATCTCTGAGTTGAGCCACTGGAGCGCGACTGTCCGGTGGCTTTTTTCCGGGGCCGTCCACCTCGCCGTTCGGGTCAATTCGAGCTGTGGAACAGCCCCTGGCTTGCCCTTTAAGTCAGCAAGCACATCCGATGCAGTTCCTGTAACATGCTGGCCGGCAAGCTCGAGTATGGTGGTCACGTTGTTCCATGAATACGCCAATTTGGCATTCCTACGGCCTCCAGCAGGGGCCTCGACGCTGGGGTACCACGCCACACACCCCATTGTAACACTATCAGGTCCAATCGACACATTTTTGGGGCGGGAGGCCTTGAAATGCGTCTTTGGTGAGGCTGAGGTGTCATTGTCCAACGAACAGACCGATAGTACAGTCAAGGTGCGGGCTGAAATCACGGCAACTAGGCCCATATGGTCCGCCAAGTGAGGAACAGGGCCAACGGGGAGCACGCGGCAGTCGTGCACGGCGGAGGCATACATGGCACCATGGGAAGGGTCGTTTTTTAAGACTGCTTGGGGGCCCACGAGCCGCTGCGTCACATAATGCCGGCGGAACAATCGCACGCACCCGTGGTGGAAGATGACATGGCCGCCCACGTCAGAGGAGACCATGTTCTGGCTCAGGTCGCCAAGAAACGACACGGAGTTCACAGGAACACCCGCGATATGGTCGTTGGCAGCACCAGTGCCGCGAGAGGTGGAGGCGGACATACCTGGGATCACATCCAAGGGCTCGACGACTGTTGGAACGGCCTTGTTGTTGTTTTTCCCATTTAGGCGGGGGATCTCCCACACCACAAGCAGGCCGTCCGTGTGGCCCGCACAGACGTGGCTTCCACTGGTCGAAACGGCTACACAAGTGACGTGCAGCGCGCCTGGGACTGTTTCCTCGGCAGGCAGTGGCCCTGCAGTGGGTGTTTGGAGCAAGAACATCATATTTTGGAGGTAGTCGAACACGGCCACGCGGCCCAAGTGCGTGCCCACGAAGATGTGGGACGGCGAGAGCTCGAGAGCCGTCGGGGAGCCACAAGCCGCGGCGAACTTGGGCGATCCAAGGGCACGTGCAATCTTGGGCGGCTGATTCCATGAAAAGACGCCGTTTTGGCGGCCAAAAAGAGCGTTTTGGGGCAAGAACCTGTGGCTCTGGCTGGGTCCTGGGGGCCGCGGCGCCTGGAGCCGGATTGCCACATCGGTCTGGGCCCGCGTGTCGAAGGCGCGGCGCCGCAGAAGAACACCCGTGGTTATTGTGTCACCTATTGGAGGGTCTTTGTGGGAAGGGTCCATCGAAATGTGTGGGGGTGGAACCGGGCGGTGATGGTATGGGACGGGGAGTATGGGGAAAGATGGGCCGTGCGATAGGGCCGCGAGATAGGGCCAGGAAATAGCGCCAGAAAATAGGGCCGCGAAATAGCGCCAGAAAATAGGGCCGCGAAATGCGGCCCCAGTCTCTGGGAGAGCAGGGCTGCGAAATCGCCGCAAATCCAGGAGCCGCAAATCCAGGAGCCGCCGGTCCGCTAGACTCAGCGGCTATATCACGAGTCTCGTCACTAGTCGCTTGTCACGTAGGATCCCACCATCAAGGTATTCAAATCTTAATCACATGTTTTTCGTTTTTCCTGCGAGCTGGTAACTGTAGCTATGAAATGTGCAGCATCCCTAAATTGTAAAACCAAGGTTGTAGGGAGCCAGTCTCTGAAGGGAGGTTGTAATACAATACCCAAATGTTCCATTCTCAGGATGTTTGATCCCAATTGTTCCATTCTCGGGATTTCTGATGCAAGAGAGCAGACTGCTGTATGTCCATTTCAATACATGCTGGTTTCTCGTCTGTTCATATTTCGTGATCAAGTCCCTGGCTGGTACATTGCTTAGACTGGAGGCCATGTCGGGACGGGCATGAACGAAGAGTTACAAAAGAAACACGAAACATGCAAAGATATTTCCAATTTATATTAATGTAGCACATACGATCATACATACACCAATTCTCATTGTTAAGTCGTGGAAAAGTGGGCACCGAAGTAAGTAAAGTACATGGGGATGCCGCGAAACGGGACCCAAGCACCTGCTGCACACGTGATCTGGTAGCCGCGTTTCTGAATGCTGTTTTTTGAGCTCATAGCATGGTCTTGGCATAATTGCCTGTAATATTCATATATTGGAGTGGGGCTCTCACTATTCAGTAGTGAGTTGGTGAAACTGCCTCAAAACTAAGTCCTGCAGATGGACTCCAGAAGAAGCGGTTCAGCAGATGGTGTTTGATCGAACAGAAATAGAAAGTCGGGCCATTTTTCATTGCTGCTGGCCATAACGGCTAGCGAGGAAATTAAAAGAGGAATATCAGACCTCGGTCCAAGAACTTTGGCTCTCTACTCCGATTCCTCCTATTCCTTTGGCAAAGTAAACTGGAAGGACCCTGTGGGATGCTGAATTCCGGGGCTCAGTACAAGTTTGGGAAGTCACATATATAATACTGAGTTTCCTGTAGCTTATGCTACCAATTTAAGCCATTTTGAGCCTGGTCTTCAAAAACAGGGCCTGGCGCTGATAAATTGGTTCTGCACATGGAAGATCATGGCAAACCTTTCGCAGCCAGATTCAGCCGTGGGCTGGGACGCGAAAGAAATGGGTGCAAAATCACGGTTCTCCATATCTAATCGCGGCGGAAACGGATACTGCTTCCACCAATATCAGCACCAGGCTAGATTTTCTTCACATTCATAATTTTTTTAGAGAGTCGAGCGATGAACCATTCGCTGGTGTCTCAACGCCCGTTTATCACAATCTGAGGGGTGGAAGTGGTCGAAGACTTGTGCAGTATTTGGCGGGGAGTTGATGCTGCGGAGATGAAAATTATATATGTAATTCACCGTGCAAGAAAGCTTCAGGGTAGATAATTAAAACTGGTATTTTTCATGTCTGCTACCAAAAAGCAAAGGTATAGAGTGAATTCAACCGAACAAATTCGGTTCTTCCATGACACCCTCAAGCAAGCCACAACAGATTTGCACTGTACTTGTGAGCTGGTTCTGAGAGCGTGTTATCTCCTATGTCCTTCTCTTTTCTGGAAATATCAAACCGTAATATTTATTTCCGCAGGGATGTATTTAGAGTAAAAGGGATCTTGTGAAAGATGTGGGTACAGGTGCTGGAGGCTGCTCTAGGGAATGAAACATGGCAAACATGGCATAAGTGCTGGCTAAAAATTCATATCGCTTTTGAAACGTTGGCCAGGGCTCTTCATATGTAAATGCAATCAATCGGCTGTCTCTAAATAAGCATGATTCTCCCGACGTGGGGCAAGAGCCGTGAATAAGCTTTTAGCTTTGTTTCACCATCACATTAAATGGTGGGGCTGCCCGTTCGGGTGTATACCTAAGAAAACTTAGGAAGACAGTGTTTGTACAATGACGGACAATTGTAGGTCTGCAATACTCGGCCTGAAAATTGTATTTGGGTTTCGTTTTAGCCCAGCAGCCTCACGTTCTCGGCTGTTCTTTATTATGTTTTCGGGAACCCTTTCTACTGCACACTCCAGATCCTGGGTACTTTTGGCTATTCCGACTTTATCCCGACTGGTAGTACCACTCTCCGTCTGTAGATGTTATTAGTTTTTTTGTGCTACATCACTTGATACTCTTGTCTGGGTTCTGTTGGTACTAGACGACCATCCTCATCCTGTACTATGTCTGGAATAATCCACATATTCAGGTGTGCGATGCATCATGAGATACGCTCAGTCTAGATTGCATCATCAGATACGGTATTTCTGTTCTACATCATCGGATAATTTCTGTCTAGACTACATCATCAGATCTTCTCAGTCGGCATTATATCACCAGATACGCTTAGGTGGTTTCACGAACTACGCTCAGATACATCACCAGATACTCTCAGTGTATATTACCACAGATTCTGTATATCAGGTGTATACTCACATTTTCTTTTGGCAGCGACAATCTTCTGGCGGCTCTTTCCAGCGCCTCTCCATTATGTGCTCCGTCCTGAACACTTTGTAAGATCTATTTTTTCACATACCCTAGCTGACTGTTTCTCGTTTCTAGCTCATTCTGCCGCCTTGTCAAATCCGTATCTCGGTCCGTCCTGCCTGCGGCCCCAACGAAGGCGCGCAAACAGGGCCAGAGGCCAAATAGAGAGGCCAAATAGAAGGGCCAAATAGAAGGGCCAAATAGAAGGGCCAAATAAAAAGGCCAAATAGAAGGGCCAAATAGAAGTGCCAAATAGAAAGGCCAAATAGAAAGGCCAAAAAAAAATTCAAAAATACCCATAGCCTCTGCGTCTATTCCTGGCCCCACCGTACCCTAATTTCGCTAGTAGAAAGCAAATCTGGCGCGCGTATGAAATGAAAACTTTGGTGAATGCTGGCGAAGCTGCGGAACCTTAGTAATGGCGGATATTCGTACGCGCTTGAGGAGACCAAGGTCACAGCTTTTTTTCTTTACTGGGTGGCTGTACGACTTTTGGGAATTCCCAGCTGATTTATTGAGTTCGGCGGCTGTTGCTATTTTGTCATTGCTGGGACGTCTACCCACCTGAGAGGAACCTGGCGCCTGGTCGCCTGATTTAGCATTGGTATTTCCCGACGGACTCTTGTCAGAATTACGACTGTGGGCATAAATTCCAGCTATTTGAATGCCCCTAGGCTGGCGTCCTACAGCATCTTCAATATTTATTTGGAACCCCGTTTTCGTGCCTCCTTGACGGCAGGCCTGCTGGGGCCTCCGCGCCAAGTCCATAGGGCCTCGTGGCCCTGGAGCCAAAAACGCGCGCATCGAAATCACTGTGCACAGATAAGTAGATCGTTGCACTCAAACGAAAAGTTGGCGAAGCAAGAGGGACCCAGCAGATAAATCGACTGGAGATCAGGCAATCCGACTGAAAGAGAAGACAAGTCAGTTGAAAAGACAGGCCAGCTGGAAAGACGAGTTCATTGAAACGACGAGTCAGTTGAAAAGGCAAGTTTACTGGAAAGACTAGTTAGTTGAAAAGACTAGTTAGTTGAAAAGACAAGTTAGTTGAACAGACAAGTTAGTTGAAAGACTAGCCAAGTCAGCTGTGAGGCAATTCGACTGAAAATACAACGAAACGACTCAACTAAGAGGCCTCAAATCAAAAGAGTCAACTGAAAGACAAGTCACCTGAAGATACAAGTCAACTGAAAAGGCAAGTCAGTAGACAGATCACCTGAAAAGACAAGGCAACTGAATATATAAGCCATTTGGAAATACGAGTCAGCTAAAAAGAAAGGTCACCTGAAAAGTCAAGTCACCTGAAAAGACTAGACAAGGCACCTGAAAACACCAGTCACCTAAAGACAAGTCACCTCAAACAAGTCACCTCAAGACAAGTCACCTCAAGACAAGTCACCTCAAGACAAGTCACCTCAAGACAAGTCACCTCAAGACAAGTCACCTGAAAACACAAATTCACTAAAGACAAGTCACTTCAAGACAAATCACCGAAAAATACAACAGGACGACTCAACAGAAGACTCGACAAGACTCGACAAAAAACTCCAGATCTAAAGAGCCGCCTGAAAAATCAAATTTCCTGATACTCCACGTGACTCCAGCATCATGAACCTCGCCCTCCAGGACCCCTTCGCCGTGGCCAAGGAATACCCCGACACGCTCGCCCACACCCTCCAATATGGCCACAGCGTCCACATCCTGTTCAACCGCAAGGGCGACTATATCGCCCTGGGCCTCAGCGACGGCACCATCGTCATCTACGACCTCGACAGCCTCGCCATCACGTGCGTGTTGGGCCGCGGCGGCCACGTGCGCCCCGTCACGTCGCTCTCGTGGTCGCATTGCGGGCGGTATCTCCTCCTGGCGTCGCAGGACTGGAGCTGCATTCTCTGGGACTTGCGCCGGGCCAACGGCGCCGCGTCCGCCGTGTTGCACAAGGCGCAGTTCGACGGCCCGGTGTGGCTGGCGTGCCTCCACCCGAAAAACCCGCATGTTTTCGTGGCGCTGCTCTTCGAAAACGACCCGGTGTGTGTGCACGTGGATGGGGTTGGCGGCAGCCGCGTCACATGCTTGGCCACGGAGCCGGCGGCCGCCCGGGCAGACGACGACGACGATACGCCCAAGGTGCTGGCAGGCAAGCACCGCACGCTTGCCGCGGTTTTCAGCACCTCGGGCGACTACATTCTCGCAGGCACCAGCAAGGGCTGGCTCAACGTGATCTGCACGCGGCGTGCCGCCACCGTGCACCTGGTCAAGGTCACCAGCGCCAACATCAAGTCGCTCCTGGTGGCCAGCAACGGGCGCAAGTTGGCCGTCAACTCGTCGGACCGCGTGATCCGGCAGATCCACCTCCCGGACTTGATCAACGAGCCGAACCCGGCGCACTGGGACTTCGACGTGGAGTGCAAGTACCAGGACATGGTCAACAAGCTCCAGTGGAACTCCGTGGCCTTCAGCCACAACTCGGACTTCCTCGTGGCCTCGACGTTTGGCCAGAGCTCGCAGGACTTGTACCTCTGGGAGACGTCCATGGGCTCGCTCCTCAAGATCTTGGAGGGCAGCCCGGAGGAGTTGATCGACGTCAAGTGGAACTACAACCGCTGCATGATCGCGTCCACGGGGCTCGACTCGGGCACCGTGTACTTGTGGCTGGTGCAGTTCCCGCTGAAGTGGAGTGCCTTGGCCCCGGACTTCGTGGAGATCGAGGAGAACGAGGACTACGAGGAGAAGGAGGACGAGTTCGACATCATCGACGAGACTGACTTGATCAAGAAGCGCATGGAGGAGGAGGACACGGACATCGACATATTCCTGCTCGAGGCCACGGACGTGCGCGGCTTCGACACGCAGATCGACTCGTTTGTGATTCCGCTCAACTACGAGACTGCGGTGGTGTGAGTCTCGCCGCTTGCGTGCCCTCGGCTAGGGGGGAGAGGGCGGGCTCGGCCGTACGCCGCTGGCTCTCTTTTGTGTGGTTTTGGAGACTCTCATTCCTGCGAGTCTGGAGGATTTGGTGAAGTATGGTGACTGTCGACTCTGGCTCTGTCTCTGCTTTATGGGTGCTTGGTGGTCCGTCCAAGACATTGTTCGACAGGGCGCTAGTTCGAGACTACACCACCGTTTCCAGCGAACCGGGCTCATCTAAACTTCCCTGCTTGGTGTCTTTAACCCCAGGAACCATCACATATGCCTTCCCCATTCCGTGCCTTTTGGGTTGTGGTACCAAGATAATTGTGTCCTGGAATCGCGGACCCGGCATCAAAACAGGCATGGCCGGGCTCTAGGGACACCCCGGGGCAGATCTCCCGCGTGAATCCCTTGGCTGGCCCCGCCTTACTGATTTGTCAACTGCCTCTTTTCGTCTTTGGGGTTTGCTTCAAATGAGTTCAGACCGTAGGGAAGGTCATCTGAACTTCGATGCACCCATGTCCGGCTTGGCTCTCAATCAGTTTGCCCAGCCTCGCGGCGCCACACTCATCACTCTACGCATCAACTGTGGCAACATAGACGATGAAGCAGATACACGCGATTCTCTGGAGAACCTCCGTGACCCAAGTCAAGCCCGCAAGGCCGGCCCGACTTAAATGGCACCATTCTTGAGATTTACAGGAAATGCCCAGATACCATGAAGACCAGAAGAATGCCATCGTGACATTATAGACAATCTCATTCCAATGGATGTAATGGACTGGCCATTCACTTGTTTTTTTCTGCAGCTCCAGATCCATGTGCGTAAAGCACAGACTCGTCTTATGGATGACATGCGCTAGCAAATTGGCATGGATATAGACGGCCAGTATGGCGCGAGGCTGTGGCACCAATCCCCTGGCTTTTCGGTGCATGTTCCTGGAATCACTGGCAGGGTGAAGACAGATAACACTAGGCTGTGTATTAGTAGTTGGTGGTTTGACTGCGGTGCGCCGGATTCGTGGCACTGGTTGGTCCCGGAGAGCACTGCTGTAAATGCTTGTGTTGCACAATCGATCATGCCCACTAGCAATATGACTGATGGTTTGCAGGAGTACTACTTGTTGGTGGATTCATAGCACTGGTTTGTATATTAGAGGCAATGGGTAGACTTGGTGCCAGGAGAGCTCCGTATGCAATCATAAATGAGTATGGTCTTTGGGGTACGCCCGGGCGATATACCGTACATACTTACGGCAGTGTCATCTGTTGGTGAGGGTCTGGCCTGTTGGTGGCGGTCTGGCCTGTTGGTGGCGGTCTGGCCTGTTGGTGGAAGCCTGGTCTTTTGGTGGAATCCTGGGCTTGCTAAGATTGATACTTGTATCTCCAACGTGCTCATTGTTTGTTGCCTTACCTGTAATTCCAGCCTACTCTATTAGTACTGATGTGGAAACCTGGCATTGCCAAGATAATTACTTGTTATAGCCTGCTCGTAAATCATTCCTTGTTGTCTTACCTGTATTACCGGCTAAATGATTGCTTGTTGTGGATCCTGGCCTTGCTAAATTTATTACTTGTTATAGCCTGCTCGTAAATTATTTCTTGTTGTCTTACCTGTAGTTCCAACGTACTCGTGTAACGATTACTTGTTCTCTTACCGTTAGTTCTAGATGCTGGTAAAACTATCCCTTGTTGTCTTACCTGTATTTCCTGCTCGACTAGTACTTGTTGCGAAATCCTGGCCTGTGCTAAGATTACCACTTGTATTTCAAACCTACTCAATTATAACTTGTTGTGAAATCCTGGCCTTGCTAAAATATCACTCTTATTAATATTTCTTATCTGCCCTATTAGTACTTGTTGTGGAGCCCTGGAAGTAGCTAAGATCATGACTTAACCTGCTCGTAAAATGATTACTTGTTGTAGAATCATGACCTTGCTCAGAAGATTACCTGTATTTCTATCCTGCTGGTAAAACTATTTCTTGTCGTCTTACTTGTATTTCTAACCTGCTCGACCAGTACTGCTGTGGATTCGTGACCTTGCTAAGATTATTACTTGTATTAGCCTGCTCGTAAATTATTCCTTCTTACATGTATTTTTGACCTGGTCGATTATTACTTGTATTAAACTGCTCGTTAATGTTGTCTTACCTGTATTTTTAGCCTGCTAGACTAGTATTGTTGAGGAATCGTGGCCTATGCTTAGATTATGATCTGTATTAACCTGCTTGCAAATCATTACTTGTTATGGAATCATGACCTTGCTAAGATTATTACTTGTATTAGCCTGCTCATAGATTATTCCTTCTTACCTGTATTTCTGACTTGTCCAATCATTACTTGTTGCGGAATCCTGGCCTTGCTAAGAATATTTCTTGCATCAACGTGCTCGTGAATCATACATGTATAATTTCACCTGCTTATTAGTACTTTCCTAACGTGTGGTATTCTGACCAATCAGTGGTGGTGGCAGTAAAGGCTGTGCAGTCTTGGTTACTCTCGATGCTGGGCCTACCCAACATACGAAAAGTATTTTTGGCCTTATTTCGTGTTGCTTTGAGTATTCCTCTGGGTCCAGCACATTAATATGACTATCCATATATTAATGCGCACGGCAGCAATAAATCAAAAGCCAAGAACAGGCGCCAAAAATCCACAAGAAGAAAAATGTCCCCGAAAATGGGCCACACAGACAAAGGCCACAAAAGAGACGCCACAGAAGCTCGACCGACTTTTTTTTTTTGGCAGGAATAGGGAAGTACAGGCGACCAGCCGTTTTGCCTGCACGCGTCTGGGCAGAGAGGGCCAAACAGAGGACCGAGCATAGAGGACCAAACAGAGGAGCAGAAGACGAAAAATAAAAACAACAACTAAAAACATAAAACAACAACTACAAACATGAGACAAGAACATGAAACGAAAACATAAAACAAAAACATGAAACAAAAACATGAAACAAAAACATGAAATGAAAACATGAAAAAAAAACATGAAATGAAAACATAAAAGGCTAGCAGAGACAGCGAAAATAGCTAGGGCCTGCACAGCACCCCACCGCAGAAAGCCACACCAAACACAAGGCCATCATTCACCGCGCCCGTGACGAGCGCGCGGCACGTGACCACGCCACGTAAACAAGCCTTCTGCAGGACCCCGCGCCACTACAAGCAAGCGCCCTGCCAAACTGCAAAAGGCAGCCTCAAGAACCCACCAGGCCCCACCAAAAAACCCACCAAGCCCATCAAAAAACACACTGAACCCACAAAAAAAACCGATTAAACACACAGAAAAACCAACCTAACCCTCAAGAAAAATCCACCGAACCCACGAAAAAAACTCGCTGGGCCCACGAAAAAGTCACAAAATCACAAAACCAAACCCCCAGAACCGCCAACCCCCAGCCCTCCGCACCCCACCAATACCCGCGCCCACCCGGAGGCACGGGTCTGCGCCGCGCCGCCTGCAGGTCCGCTGTTTTGTCCAACAGGAAAACTTCTCACCAACAACTCCTCCTCCTCCATCAGCGGCCGTGGAAAACCCCCCCGCCCCGACCCCTTCGAGCCCCCCCCCGCGCATCCCCACCGGCCCCCCGTGCCCGAGCGGCCCCTACTGCGAAACCCCGCCGAAAATCCCGCGTCTGCCCGTGAATCCACGCCCGCCCCCAGACGCGCCATAGTGAGCAGTGCCAGCCGCCCGCCCGCTTTCCAGCGCCCCGCCACCGCCGCCTCCCTTCACCCGGATCCACGCCCAGGCGCCGCCGGCCAGTCCCCAGAGCCGCCCGAGCCGCCCGCCGGCCCGTTTTTTTGTTCCGACGCCGGCACAGACCGCCGCCGCCAGGCCCCCTTAATTAGCCGCCAGGTCTCCCCAATTAGCCGCCAGGCCCTTGAACCCGCCGCCATGGCCGACCACAAACGCCCGGGCTCGCCGCTCCCGGCGTTCGACGACCCCGCGGACTTGGCCGCGGCCGTGATCTCCACGCTCCTGGTGCCCGACGAGCCCACGCACGTCGCGGCCGCATACTCCAACGACAAGAACGCCGCCCTGGAGGTCCAGGCGTACGCCAAGATCGCCGGCCGGGACTGGACGTACTACGTCAAGACGCTTGCGGTGACGCTCGGGCGCAACACGGACGCGCCCGCCGCCGCGCCGCTCGTGCATATCGACTTGGGCCCGGCCAAGGTCGTGTCGCGCCAGCACGCCAGCATCTGCTACAACATCGACTTGAGGTGCTGGGAGCTCCGCGTCACGGGCCGCAACGGCGCGCGCGTGGACGGCGCCAAGACGCCCGTGGGCGCGCCGCACGCCACGCCGTTGCACTCGGGCGCCATCCTCGACGTGGGCGGCACGCAGATGATGTTCATCTTGCCGGACACGCCGCCGGCCATAGCGCCCAAGATGCTCGCGCTGTGCTTGGCACGCTACGCCGGCGGTGCACCCAAGCGCCCGCGCGTGGCCGCGCCGGCCCAGCGCATGCTGAGCTTCCAGATGTTCGGGCGCGGCCTGCTGGCGCCGTCGCCGTCCGCGGTGTCCGCGGTGCTGCTCCAGCACAACTTGGACCAGGACTTGTCGCGCGAGGATGCCAAGGATATCAAGCCGCCGTATCTGTACGCGACCATGATCACGCAGGCGATTCTCCTGAACGCGGACGGCGTCATGTCGCTCTCCGAGATTTACGCGTGGATTGCCGCGCGCTACGCCTACTACAAGTATTCCAAGACGGGCTGGCAGAACCTGATCCGCCACAACTTGTCGCTCAACAAGGCCTTCGAGAAGGTCCCGCGCCGGCCCAACGAGCCGGGCAAGGGCATGAAGTGGCAGATCAGCGACGCCTACCGCCACGACTTCTTGCAGAAGGTCCAGACGGGCACCTTGCTGAAGTCGCGTCGCGGCTCGTCGGTCTCGCGCACGCTCCAGATCCACCTCGCCACCCACCAGGGGCTCCCGGAGACCAAGCTGTACCACCCGGACCCGCCCTCCTCGCAGGCAGCCTTCCCGGGGCCCGCCGCACACTCCAGCCAGCCCTATGGCAGCACGCCTCCCGGGGCTTACGCCATGCAGAACATTAATTACCACCGCCCTGTGGTCTACGGCCATCCCAGCCAGGGGCTAAATCCGGGGCACCCGGGAATGAACCAGGATATAAACCAGGGTATAAACCAGGGAATGAACCAGGGAATGAACCAGGGAATGAACCAGGGAATGAACCAAGGAATAAACCAGGGAATGAACCAAGGAATAAACCAGGGCATGAGCCAGGGTGCGAGCCAGGGAATGGACCAGGCTCACCGTGGACACCAGGCTCACCAGGAACTAGCCCAGCATCTCAACCACGGACAAAACCTCGGTGCAAATCAGCATCTCAACCACGGACAAAACCCAGACCAGCATCTTACCCAGGGACAAAACCAGGCCCCAAACCAGCATCCCAACAACAGACAGGTCCTGGCTCACGCACCGCTGCAAATGCAGCAATTGCAGCCGCCCATGCCTGAAAAGCGCATGGAACTTGCGTCTCCCTTGAGACACGCCTCAACGGATTCGTCCGCGATGAACAACCCTCCATTGGACAGCTCCTCGTTCCACCTGCAACCACCACAGAACGGGGCGGCACCTGGGGTTAATCTCTTCAAGATGGCTCCCACGCAGTTGCAACAGGAAAACCCGCCCACGCAAAATGGCGCCAGCAGAGCGTCGCTCGCCAACACCAGCGAGTCCCTCATACAAACATCGACGGCCCCAACAACGTCCAACACGTCCGAGCTCGGACTCAGTTTCACGTCACCCAAGAAGGTGGTGCCGCTAGAAGCGTTCACGCCGGATCGTGGTTCGAAGTCTACTGGCCCTGGCAGCAAGTCTGGCGGAAATGCCAGCGTGAACCAGTCGTCACCAGCGTTCTGGAACTTTGTACAGTTTAGTACGCCCAATGGACAGACACCTGGGAGGAAAAACAGCAACGAGAGCAACGGACAGGAGAGCCCGACTCTCAATAGGGGCGCCAACGACAAATCCGCCGCCGCGAGCGCCTGCGACGAGTCACCTTCCAAGTGAAGGTTTGCCCCTGGGTGCAAAGACACCATTTAAGAAGCATTCCTCTCTCGCAAATCCCAACTATCGTCATTTCTACATCACAAGATACTGTTTATAGTGCTCTTCGAGTGTTATCATATCTCATTACTCTACTCATTACTCTATAAAAAGTGCAGATGCACTAGAATGCGGCGCGGTTCCGCAAATCGTATAGTCTTCGCTCGATTTCTCGCGGCGCGCGGTCCAATTGACCAGCAATCCTGATCTTCGAGGCTTGATCAAGCTCGTAGTATTTCTCAATAAAGTCGCCGTCAATGACGTTCTTGCCGGGGTTGTAGTAGCCACGGAATTTTATGTGGTCTCGGCCAACCAAGCCGATTGCCCTCTTCGATTTGCTGAGCTCAGAAAAGTCAGCATCGAGAGTTTTCCTCATGGCGTTTTCTAACTTCAACATGAATTCCACCTCGTGCTTCGTCGCAAGCGGCATTAAAATTCCCACAGTGCCTTGGAGACCGGTGTAGATTATACTCTCGGTGCCTCCCACAACAAAGGTGCCTTTTTGGAACGAGGTGGGGATATCTTGAATATAGAACTCGCAGAGCTTGGATGTTCTTGCAGCAGGTCCGTTTAAAAACTCATCCTGGAATTTCATCAAAACATTGTCCTTCATCTGCTCAAAAACAGATTGCGGGATCCGGTTCACGAATATATTCCCAAATTTGTCACCGCCGATCACAGTCCTACTATCTAGGGTTTCGAAAGTGGTGACTTGCCTGGACGTGATATCGTTCATGAAAGCTGTGAACTGGTTTTTAACAGAATCATACTGGAAAAAACCAAGCGAGTTTTGCGCGTCCCCGACAACCACTATGTCACCGGCCACGTGTTTGATCTTATTCACTCTTCTCAATGTTTCAACTTTAGTAGATGATTTGCGGAGAAACTGCTTCTTGCCTAGCTCGTAAACACGAAGCTGGTTTTCCGCAGCCACAAGAAGTTTCTTATCGCCCAAAAACTCTAGTGCGGTTGCCTGTTTATCCAAAGTTGTTTTATGATGAAGCTTTAAGCTCGTTCCCGATTCAATCACAAATGTATACAAATAGTTGCCCATGTGATTGGAATAATTAAAGTTGAGGTCCTTAGTTGTTGACACGACAAGATATTTGTCCAGCTCAACATTCATGAGACACAATGCCATGGCACATTCATTGTTGTCAAACTCGAAGGTGTGCGATACTTCAGAAGTGGCATGGTGGACTACCTGGATACAAGAGGCCCAACTTCCTGCTTTCTGTTCGAGGCCGAAAGCCTCGATGTAGTCTTCATCAACGGGCTTCCCACTGGCGTATGGTGACACCACGTTGTGATCAGACTCGAGCACGTAAAAGAGCCCGTTTTCTTGCACGTGCTTCTTGGGTGTGTATCGGAGTTTTGTCAGGGTGATGACGAAGTCGTCATTTGCGTTGAACCCGCCGGCATCGTCGGTACCAAGCGTAAAGATAGTCAAGTCTGCGCCACTGATTCCAACCACGCTTTCCGTACCAATATCGTCGGAGTAGAAAGAGGTACCGCTGGAGATTTTACAGCCAACCAAGGGAAAGAGCTTAAAACTGCCATCAGTGTTAAAATAACCTACCCAGGGTCGCGAACTGAGCGCCAAAATACCTGGCTGATCGAGGGTGGGGAGGCGCAACTGGCGCAAGTATACGGGGCTCGAGCCCAAGTACTTCAGGCGCGTGTCGGTCAACTTTCCCGAGATGGTGTCAATGTTTACGCGGACGTAGACACCGCTTTCCAAGCCCATGTGGACATGTAATGTAAACCGGTCGGAGGCAAGCATCAAGAGCGACCGTGCGTTGCACGACAAGGCCTGCAAGGTGAGCACGTCAAAGCAATTGTGAGCAGAAAGAGAAAGAACCTGAACGGTCTCGTCGGAGGCACCGACTACCAAAAAGAAGCTTTTTCTTTCCCCGATCGGATTGCAAGTGATCGCTAAGGCCGTAATAGAGCCGCCAGACACCTCAAACCGCAGCAGGTACTCGGAGAGCTGATCGTCGGTCGGGTCAATTTCGAAATAGCACACCTCGCGGTTAGAAAGCGCCACAGCCACCTGTTCGTTGTTGCACGTGGCGTGGAGAACTGTAATGCCTGCAGGCGGATACCAGTCTGAGTGAGTTTTGCGGGAGATTTCGCCTGACGCGTCCACCACGTGCCTGATGCTGCGAATGCCGTTACGGTGGATCTGCACCACAGAGCTGGCGCCCATCTGCTGCACGGCAAGCGTGTGCTGATCGGTGAGAAAGGCCGAGTCTGCGACCTCCTCAACCACCTCGCCGATGGACAACACGCAGGTCTTTTCGTCGAGTGCAGACGAAAGCACCAAGTACAGGTCGCTGGACGCAGACCTGTGTGTTTTGGTGGCGTGGATGGCTGTGGGCGCCATGGGAAGAGGCGAGGCCACGAGTTCCAGCACTGGCATGCCGTGCACGAGCGACTTCATGTACGAGTGCAGCGAGAGTGTGACCAAGTGGGTGAGCGGATCAGGGGATGCACCTGGTGCAGATTCCACAAGCGAGCTTCCCGTCAATGGCTCCAAGGACTCCACGATGTCCACAAGGGCCAAGTTCTGAAGGCCCACGGGCTCGTATACGTGGCGTGAGCAAGCAGTTTCTGAGAACTCGGCCTCTAGTGCCTCAGACCACGGCTGCGCACGCGTGGTGGTATCGTTCTCGACGCCCAACTGCTCGATCTGGTACAAGAGCTTATTGTTGTGGAGCGTGTGCGCGTACAAAAACCCCGATTTGAAAACAGTGATGCTGGAGCACGCGGGCACGGAGTCAAAGTAGGAAACAGCCATGTCAGGGTGCCTTTCCGCGGCGTCTGCCACTGTCAATTTGTACAAGTCGCCAGCCGAGCTGTGGAGAAGCACAAAAAACGTGTTTTTCGCAAGCCGGTGCACGAAATAGGCCACAATTTTCGTGCCGCCACTGCCTGCCCGCACGGGCAAGGGTACGAGCAGCCGCGAGCCGCCAGCGGCCTCTCGTTCAAGAATCAAGAACGAATCGCAGCAAACCAAAACGCCGCCCACCGGGTCCGGCATGGGCACCACGAGATTGGCCGAAGCCGGCACATCGGGCCGGCTGCGCCTCCGCATCACGTGGTTGAGCCCCGCGTCCAATTCGTAGTAGCAGAGCATGGGCAACGAGGCTGCACGGGCGTGGCTATGGCGGGAGTAAGGAGGGCACTCGATTTCGAGCGCTGCCCATGCTGGATTGCCGAGGCCTGTGTCGAGAGCGCAGAGTGAGAGCGTCAAAGTATGTGGAACACTGGCGTCAAGCGGCAGGGAAAGCGAGACCGGGCTCGGCGTAGTCCCTGGCTCGATGCGGTACACCAACTTGGTTTTCTCGAGGGCTGCCACCATAATGGCACGGCTGTGTGGGTCTGCAGCCATGTAATGACCCGGGGAAATGCGGGAGAGGCCAGACTTGGCGTATGGCTGTTGGACAACGGGCACGAAGCGGGATGTTTCGGCGTCGAATTCCGCCACGGTGAGGTTCCCAGCATCAGACGTGAGCACCAACAAGTCTTTCTGCGAGCCGGCCACGCGGATTTTCAGCAACGCCTGGAGATTGGCAAACGCGGTCTGGTGCCGGAGCCGCTGCAATTTGCCGGTGGTGGCGTTGGGCCGGTACACGATGATTCCGGTGGTAGAGGACACCACGAGTTCTTGCACTTTTCTGGCCCCGGAAAACTGGCCCTCGACCGAGAGGAGCGAGCCGCTCGCGCCACGGAGTGTGAGATGGTAGAGATAGAGGGCGTCGGATTCGGGAAGCATGCAGCAACGTACCTGGAAATAGGGAGTGAAGCGAGGGAAAACAGGTAATGGGGACCCTGAGGCTTTTCGGAGGTGTTTTGCACCTGGCGATGGGCCCTGGTGCGCGCCTGGACGCGGGCCTGGGGCGAAAATTGGAGCCGCAAAAAATGGGGCCGCAAAAAATGGGGCCGCAAAAAATGGGGCCGTGTCACGTGGTATCCGCCATGTAGGCATCCCTCACGTGGCAAGAGGAAAAAACTTCCGTACAGGGAAAGTTTTTTCCCTTTCCTTTCTTCCTTAAGGGTTTTTAGAGAATAGTAGTATCCTAAGGATCCGAAGTACCGTACATACTTGAATTGAGAAATCTGATACTGAAAGGCCGCAAAAAATGGGGCTGCGAATTTAGGGCCGCGAGGATTAGGCCCAAGAATGGCGCCCTGGGAAATAATCGGAGCTGAGGGCCCGTCACGTGAGAAACCGCTCGCTGGTCGGCGGGTAAAATCAGGGGACTAGAGCACATAAAAATGGTCTTTAATATATCAATTGATTAACCCCTTCTTCAAACTCACTGGTTCCCGCTATCAGAATATATCAGAACCGTGGCCTTGGGTGAGGTCGCCGAATGTCGTAAGCGCCTATGTGCCTGTATGTACTTCTGTTGCAAGTTTCGTCAGAGATAAAATCAAACACCCCATAGAATGTTCATTCTAGCCCTGAGTCTTGCCAGTTCATGCACACTTTTCCAGGAACAACTTATGAGGCATACCGAACTCCGTGTGTATTTCAGGTAAGTTGGTGCTGAACAAGCGCAAACACGTATATACTATCCTGTCCGCCAGGGCGCGAACAAGATAGCCTGATCACGTGATGCCCTTCAGCCTGGCATTAGACATCACGGATAGGACATACTTCTGGCCAGAAACTTGTTTGTGTCCCATGAACCATTTCAATTTAAGACGAAAAATTCCTAGGGGTGTTGGGGCTGTTTAGGACGTGAATTGCTGCCCCCGATTGAAGGGTCTTTATCTCAAAAGAAACTGGGTGCAGGCGATTATCAATAGTACCTGCCAATACAATAGCACACCTGCTGATATGTGCTGGCTTCAGGGAGCAATAAGTAAGACGATGAAGAATTTGAATGGCCTCGCTTACACAAAATCACACCAGGCTCTGGAGTTTTGCCACCCAGAAATCTCGCTTTTTTCTCATTTGCCATCATAAATCATAGCCCAACATTCGGATGAGTGCGGCTGAGAATGCCTGGGCTCACCTGGATCAATGCTTAGTTCTATGATTTAACAACTGTATTTGTATTTATATTAATATTTAGTTTATTTGTATTCTTTTCACCAAACACATTAGGCCATAGATGGCCTATTTTATTCTATGTTAGATAAGCCGATTATTTTATGATATCGGTTACAGTATACCATACTGCATGCCAGCAAAAAAAGATTTTGATTAGAGCAACCATGGCTGCCATTGTTTTACCTTTCCTTCGGCTAGATCGAAGTATTTATAATATGCTTACATAAAAACTCGCTGTATAACTAAATATCAGGCTATTGCACTAAGTCCGCCCGCTGTGTCCCGCCTATAATTCACGTGCATAGGCGCTGGTGTTGTATTTTGACTGTAAGTTTTTGCGTTATATCGCTGCAATAATATCAGAGCTTAAGGGTACTCAGCTATGTAACGTTTTTGCTCAGATTTATTACCGTCTTGTAAAATCATCTATTTTCCAATCTAATACATATTTTGCTGGTCTGAAATTTTTTATGCTCCTCTTTCTGAATTTTCTAAGCTCTTGCATCATCATCCTTCCCAAAAAACAGAAATGAAGCGAGAAGACGATGTCGATTATGATTTCGCCTCCTCAGTTGGTCGTTTAAAATCGCTCTTAAAAATTTGCTTTTCGATAGCTCTCATGTGTGAACACATATTTAGACACTGTAGTTGGCGGCTTGAAAACTTAAAGCGCCACTTGTATGTTTTCACTCCCTCAAAGGTTATGAGTCTGGCGAGAAAACAGATCTTAGGATTTTTTCAAACTTTTATGTTCTTCGAAATGCAATTAGACTTGGGTGAGGATCTGGACGTATGATCGACAAAAGAAAGTCTTTTCGAGGCGATATGCCAGTCAGATAGGTAGTTTTTTATTCGATTATCAAAAGCGGGGAAGATAGTATGAGAAATTTCTCGAAAAATTTCGCCGAAAATAGTATCTTTCTAGGAGCCATGTGAAAGTTAAAGGATACTAGTTTAAGAAGCTCAAAAAACTTCCAATTGTGTGAGAAAAATCATACTGGAAGGAATTGGGGCAAAGAATGTTTCAGTTTTATTGACCCTTCCGGGAAAATGGAATCAGATTTTCCATGTTTCTTCGTGATAGGCAGAGCTCAGTTATCTCAATACCGTTCTTAAAAGACTCGCATTTTTGAGAACATAACAATTGACTTAGCAGCAAGAGGAAACATTTATGAGCCAACCCGAGCCTGGTGGAAGGACAGGAAACGGCCGTGCGCTTTCACATGTCTGGACATATGGAAGCCCACTAAAGTCTATCAAGAACTCTTGAGTAATGCATCTGCTTTATCACATGAATTCAATGATTTTGACAGGTACTACCTCAAAACTATGGATTGGTTAGTGGAATGTATTTCCAATGAGAAATTCTTCCCTAGGTAACATAAGTGAGCAGCCTAATCGGAAAGTACGCAGCCAGGCACTTAATCCCACATAAACAAAAAACATAAGTCATTGACGCTGTCAGCTTGATCACAAATCGCACAATACTCGTGTTCATTCGCGTCTATGGCAATATGGGGAAAACCAGCAATAGCCGGGTGCTCGAGCACAAGTTCAGACTGAGCCCACCCAAATCAATTACCAGCGTTGAACTACCTAAAGTTCATAATAATTTGGAGTCTTAAAACATACTTGACTATTGAGACAAGAGATTCTGATATCTATACTACGTTGGTGCCTCGGTTCTCATGCAAATCTTTCTCCTTCGAGTCGCACGATTTAAAATGAAGCGACAGACAGAATGTGAGTATCCAAAAAACTCAAAAGCGTTCAAAACACCTGGAATGAACACTAGAGAAAAACTTTTTAGACATGACGAGGAATGTTGGCTGAGGGCAAAAAAGAACTCGGATACCAGGCCCTTAGCACCAACACACTAGTTTGTCCAAGCCGCAATTCCACTGGCCATCGGATCTCCGAAAGTTGAGCCAACTCTATTAGAAGACACAGGCTATTTACCTCACTGTTATCGAGCTCCACAGATCGGCTTTATGAATCCAGGGCCGGGGTTCTTGCCTCACTTTATTAGACCTGCGCCCAAGCTCGCGCGCGAATTCCGGTCCATATGTTTAGCACAGCTGAGAACTCAGGTCACCTGATCACAGCCAACCACTTGGTCACTACTAATAATGGGAGCCAGGTATGTCGAACCTCCGGATTCAGCTGGAACAGAAGAAGCGAACCAGGGATGAAAGCACAAAACGCTCTTTTGAGATGCGCTGCCCATGTATACTAACTTTCAGTTGCCAGGACCAGAAAAAGGCGTTGGCCATCTGTCTTCAAAGATCGCCATGCGTCCTCATCGAGCGGAACACCCCCAAAAAATGTCTCACCGACCCCAAGTTGAAAAAAGAATTGCCCGAGTTGTGCGTGGCCAATTTCAAGGCGTTTATGAAATGCAAAAACGGCTTTTTCGACATGCGCAAGCGCATGCGGGGAAACGCCCCGTTGTCGACAGGGAAGTACGACGAGATGTACGAGAAGCTCTCGACCGGTGACTTTGATGCTCACGAGGAAATGCGTAAGCTTGACATGTTGAACAAGAATTTGGCCAAGGAAAAGGCGTACCCTGAAAAGAGCGCCGAGTAGGAGACCGAATGGAGATTTGACTCGATAGAGCATGTTTATCGAAGCCCGCTGCAGTTCTTGTATATAGAAGGGAAAGTGGCTATCCCTGTGATGACAGCATGGAGTTCGCCAGTGGTGTTGCAGAGTGTTTTGGCCACTTGACACTGCATAGATCTCGTGAGTCTTCCGGGGAAAGGCAGGGCTATAATTGCGGCCAATCGAAATGCCAGCATTTCCGAGGGTCCATCATCGGGCGCTCGTTGTGGGCGGTTTCCGTAAACGAGGGACCTACTTGCCATATACAGATCAAGGAGCGGCAAAATGAGCAGACTTGGCCGTGGGAATGTTTCCCTTAGAGTGGCGTTTCATGGCCTGGCCCGTGAAGGTGAGTGCCACGATTCCAGGCATTTATATAGGTATCTCACTGCTAAGACGAGAAACTCCCACTGCTGCAACGTAGCTCTTGGTAACAAAACGGCAGAACAGAGGTCCAGGAACAAAGAAAGACTGTAGGATCAAAATGCCGTGCGTAACATAATAGAAATTGGAGTAATAAAGAGACCTCTTGGTGACAAACAGAGTTCAGGAACAAAACAGGACCTGGGAGCAAAATGAACTCATAGTAACATAATAGAGCAATAAGTAACAAGATAAAGTTCCGAAAACAAAGCAAAATTATAGGATCGAGCACTCTGAGTAACACAATAGGACCAGAGTAATAAAGACTTTTAGCACAAAACAGACACGAGGAACAGAACAGGGATTTGGAATGAACTAGTAACACAATATAATTCTGAAAAACAATAGAGCCTTCAGTAGCAAAGCCCCAGGAACAAAACAAAACTCTCGGAGCCATAAGTAACATAATAAAACTCTTTGTAACAAAACACAGCTCGAAAAAACAAAATTCTTGGAACAAAGCAGAAAGACAGAAGCAAAACAGACCAGGAGCAAAACGACTAGGAGCAAAACAGACTAGGAGAAAAACAGACTAGGAGCAAAGCAGACTAGGAGCGAAAGAGAGTTTCAGGAACAAAACAGAACTCTCGGGAAAAAGGAAGTAGAAGTAACACAATAAAATTCTGAATAGTAATATTGTTATTAGTAACAAAACATCTCAGGAACAAAACATGGCTCAGAGAGACACAATATAATTCTGAATAAGAATATAGTTATCAGGAACAAAACATTTCAGAAACAAAACAGAACTGTCGGAGCTATGAGCTACATATCAGAACTCTCAGAACCAAAACAGAGTTGGGGAAAAACCTAATTACAGGAACAAGAAAGATTTTGGGATCAAGCACTCTGAGTAACATGATAGAACACGATCAACACGATGAAACTCTTACTACCAAACATCTCAGGAACAAAACAGAACTCTGGGAACAAAAGGAAGTAGAAGTAACACAATATAATTTTGGATAATAATATAGTCATCAGTAACAAAACATTTCGGGAGCAAACCCGAACTGTTGGAGCTATGAGGCTCGTCACCAAAGCCAAAACTGAAGCTCCCAGAAAAACTTTTAACCCTCATTTTTCGGCAGTGCAATTCACAGTTGTATTCGTGGGTGCCAGGGTCTTCATCCATAAGCTTCAAGAGGACAACTTACAGGAGGAGCCAAACTCACTTACTTTCAAATCTCCAGCCATGCTGATGGTGATTGACTACAAATACTTAAAGAATGTCTCGGTGAAACATTGTTAAAGACTGAAATCCTCATGTCTCAATCCGATAATACTGTTCATTATTCTTGTGTCCCGGTAGTGGAAGATTTTGTGCATACATTTAAGGATGTTCAAAAATTCTCAAGATAAACAAATTTTGATTCAAATACCCGATAAGAAGAGCAAGACCTCCAATCTTGGGACCGAATTTGGCAGACTATTTGAACAAGCAGACATTCATGTTGGGATAAGAATTGAGAAGCAAAGAATTTTCTTGGGTTGTGAACGAACGGCCAAGGCTGCCGCTGTTGTTGAGTATGATGATAGTAGGACTCGTGGTAAGAAAACCGAGCTCGAGCAAAACAGAATCACAGGGACAAAAGTGACTGTGGGGTTGAATGACTCCGAGTCATGATAGAGCCCGAGTAGCACAGTAGAATCTGGGTAGCACAATAGAATTCGAGTGACACAATAGATTCTGAGTGACACAATAGAATCCGAGTAGCACAGTAGAATCTGAGTAGCACAGTAGAATCTGAGTAACGCAATAAAACCGGAGTAACACAATAAAACCGGAGTAGCTCAGTAGATTCTCAGTAACACAATAGAATCTGAGTAGCACAATAAAACCGGAGTAACGCAATACAACCGGAGAAACACAATAAACTCTGACTAACACAATTAAACCGGAGTAACAAAACATACCCCAGGAGCAAAGCATACACCACAAAAACAGACCCCAGGAGCAAAAATAAACTGGGGACAACACTCAGAGTAACATAACAGGACCCGGAGTAGCATAGCAGAACTCGGAGTAATAGAGAGCATTCAGTGACAAACAAAGTCCGTGAACAAAACAGAGATCCGGGAGCAAACCCCGAGGACCCAAACAGAAGTAAACACACCACGCCGCTTCACGAACAAACCAGACCGCCAGAACCGCACCAGGACTCCGGGGCCCGTGCGGCACGTGCCTGGCCCCGGGAGAGAGACGTTTCACGGGCCGTTTCGGGCGGCAGATATACGAGGCGAGAAAGCCCCCTGCAGCGAGAGCATCCCACACGGACGCCCGGGCGCCCGCGTGCTTTCCCGAGACGCTGCTCGTGCGTAGACGAGCGGCTCTGCCGGAAATGGTGCATATCCAGCGCATGGGAGCTGGTGCCTCGAAACCCGACGACGGGTTTCTTCTAGGCGGCCGCAGCATGGAAACCACGGTGCACCCACGCCAGCGGGCCCGGCCCCACGGCCCGGCCTGTCCTGCCTCTAAGAAAACGCCAGAACCGGCTCGCACCAAAAACCCAGCACTGCCCTGCATTTTTCACCCAGCTTCCCCAGCGCCATCCAGCACGACGCAAAACCACGCAGAATCACCCAGAATCACGCAAAACCACCCAGAATCACGCAAAACAACGCAGAATCACCACCCTAAACCACCACCCTAAACCACCACCCTAAACCACCACCCTAAACCACCACCACCCCAAACCACCCCAGAATGACCGTGGCCTCGCTGTTGGAAAGCAACCGCGTGCAGGAGCTCGAGCAGTTGCTCCAGCTTCTCCACCCCCGGATCCTCCGGTACGTGCTGGCAGCCGACGCCGGTGCAGCGGCGCCGCAGGGCGCGTTGGGCTCGTACCACGAGCCGCAGTTCTTGAAGGAGCTCTTCACCGGCAGCCTGGGCATCTCGGAGCAGGGCTTGCAGAACGACCCGCAGGCGGTGTTCCGCAACATCGACCGCGTGTTGCAGTACTCGGTCAACACGTGGCACCCCGGGTTCTTGGACAAGTTGTACGCGTCCAACAACCCCATCGGCGTGGTGGGCGACATCGTGCTCTCGCTCCTCAACACCAACTCGCACGTGTACACGGTGTCGCCCGTGGTGTCGGTCATCGAGAACTACGTGGGCCGCAAGTACGCCGCCCGCTTCTTCCCCAACCACGTGGCCACGTGCGGCGGCTTGACCTTCCCCGGCGGGCTGTGGCTGAACATCACCGCCATGCACATGGCGCGGGCGCTCCGCTTCCCGGCCACCAAGACGCAGGGCAACGGGCCGCACCGCTTCGCCGTGTTCACGTCGCGCCACTGCCACTACTCCGTGGAAAAGGCCGCCATTCTCTTGGGCCTCGGCTCCGAGGCCGTGTTCAAGGTGGCCATCCTCGGCGACGGCACCATGGACCCGCAGGCGCTCGACACGGCCATCGGCGCGGCCGTGGCGCGCGGCTTCACGCCGCTTCTCGTCAACGCCACGGCCGGCACCACGGTGTTCGGCCTGTTTGACGACTTGCGTGCCGTGGGCGCGGTGGCCCGCAAGCACAACGCGTGGTTCCACGTGGACGGGTCGTGGGGCGGCAACGTGGTGTTCTCGCCGGCCCAGGCCCGCCGGCTTGCGGGCTGCGAGCTCGCGGACTCCGTCACGGCCAACCCGCACAAGATGTTGGGCGTGCCCAACACGTGCCTGTTTCTCTTGGTGCCGCACGTCGGGCACTTCCAGACGGCCAACTCGTTGAGCGCGCCGTACTTGTTCCACGGTCGCGACAACGGCGACGAGAACATGGACTTGGCGGACGGCACCATGGGCTGCGGCCGCCGGCCCGACGCGTTCAAGTTCTACTTGACCTGGCTCTACTACGGCACGCAGGGCTTGCAGCGCCGCGTGGACCACGCGTATGCCATAGTGGCGGACTTTGTGGGCAAGGCCTCGCGCACGCCGGGCTTCCGCTTGGTGCAGCAGGAGCCCCAGTGCTTGCAGGTGTGCTTCTACTACGTGCCCGCGGGCTTTGCCGGCCCCGACTACTCGGCCGTGACGCGCCACGTGTCGCGCGAGCTCCACCGCCAGGGCCGCTTCTTGATGGACTTCTCGCCGAACCCGAGCGACGACACGCACGGCGAGTTTTTCCGCGTGGTGTTCAACTCGCCCATCCTCACGGACGCCGTGGTGGACGACCTCATCCGCGCCATTGTCGACACTGCGGAGGCCGCGGCCTTTGGCGAGTAGCGCGGGGGCCGGGCCATCCAGTGTGCTGGGCCGCTCGTGGCTGCGTGTGTTTGGTGGACATGGGGATATAGACAGGAGTGTTGTTTTAGATGGACAGGCAGTTCATGAGAACTAGCATGGTATTTAGTATTAGACATGGAAAGGTGCACTAGACTGGAGATTTTGTTAAATGGACAGGCAGTTCATGAGAACTAGCATGGTATTTAGATTAGACATGGAAAAGTGCACTAGACTGGAGTGTTGTAATTATTGAGTTGGACAGACAGTTCATGAGAACTAGCATGGTATTTAGTATTAGACATGAAAAGTGCACTAGACTGGAGTGTTGTAATTATGAGTTGGACAGACAGT